GGAGAAAGATGAGGCTTTCTACTCCCATAAAGATTTACACCCTCGGAAACCCTGTACAGGGTCGCTATGGGTCGGAACCGACTCGACAGCACTTAAGAACAACATAACATATGTATATATATCTGTATCTCTAAAATGCTTACAAAAGGGTCAAGTATGTTATCAGACTTGGTTATTCTGAGTACTTTAACTATTCAATGGAAATATAGGGAAAGTAAACAGTTAATTTCAGCTAGGATTTAGGACTATCCCATATGAAACTTTGTATTTTCTTGGTGAGTCAATTTAGAAACACATGTTCCTCTCTCTTACTTTCGGGGCTTTCCAAAGGACTTTTCTACAAAGTTAAGACATGTGAAAAAACTCTAAGGCAGATGATAAAGAGGAAACAGCAGCTTTCTAAAATGCCTCCTTCTTACATAACACACACACACAGACTCCTGTCTTTTGTTTTCTCCCACAGTATTCATGGGACTCTACTGTGATGTTTGTCTGGTGTAGGAGAATTTTAGAAAGTTCTGTTTGAACTAGGTGTGGGAAAGGGGGTCTTTGCCCATTCTTGGCCCTAATCTCTACCTATCCGGATCTTTCCAAACCCTCTTCATACAACCCAGATTTCTCCAGCTGGAAAAGCCTTGCAGGCTCATCTTTTTAGGTCCCTTCATTGTAGGAGTGGAGAAGCAGGCCCCAGAGAAGGGATTTGTCCTGCGAAGGCACTGAGAAGGTTATTTAGGTGCTCTGACTACCAATCAGCATAGGGCTTTTTGTTCTAGTGAGATGGTTCCCTATTGTCACCTAAGAACAGCCAATAACCTAGGCACCCTTTAAGAATTCAAATTTTGAAAATAATTACAAAATTCTATCTTATATCTCTAACTCAAATGCTGACATTTTAGAAAAGATGAAGTTACTCTGGAGTCAAGAAATCACATATTCCACATGCTGGTGTTATAGCTGGAAAACTTACCTTCACAAAAAGTTCAATTTCAGGGTCAGCTTGAGTTCTGGGCCTCAGGCTTGCCATCTCTCTGTTTGACTGCCAGTTGTCAGTTCCTTGCCTCCAGCACAATGCACAATACTTGTGGACTCTCTCTAGTTTATCCAAAGCTTTAAGCAGTGTTGGTTCTTTAAGAGGAGAGTCCAGCTTGTAGTTGACTGAGTCAGAACTGAGGTCAGCCTCTCTTCTCAAGAGGTGGGGTCCAGAGAATTCTAGAGGTTTGAGAGCAGCTCTTGAATTCCTTTTCCTTCTTCCCCTTGACCTAACATTTGAATCAAGGAGGAGCTGAAGGGGTGTGTGTAAATTGGCTGGTTAGAAGGGTGGGGGTGTTTCCAGAGTGGCTTCAATGCCGTGAGTCAGCATTAGAGAAGCACATACACACAAAAACACACACATGCAGCGCTGGCTTCTATATATCAAGCATACCAGATGTTTTCTAGAGCCTCCCTTCGAGTCCTGGGCTCCACGCCCAGAAAAAGGCCTCTTTCTGCTGTTCCTGTCACCTGACCACAGCAAAAAGCTCTTCCAGGAAAAGGATTTCGGTTCTATCATTGAAATGGATTGTTCCCCAATAATTCTACTACAGGGGAGAGGCTAAAAGGGTGTACTTAGTCAAATGTCTACACTTCCAATTCTAGTCTTCACAGCCAGATTTCCCTTCTGGGCTGCAAATTTCACTTTTTTTTGTTTTGTTTTTACCCTTTTTTCTAAAACCAAGGAATGTTCTCAGGGGTTGAGTCTGTTGGCTTCTTTGGTGTGGCCCGCATACTTCTTTATTCCTGGGAATCTGGAACTGCAACTGATCACTTCCTTGTATGGGCACCTGCATCAGGACCACAAACAATTCTAGAGCTCTACTTGTCACCCCTGGGAGCAGCAGGGAAATTCAGTATGCTGTCCCTCCAAACCACTCACTTGGTGTCTGCAATGTTTCAGGCTCCTGTGTGTTCTGTCTCTTAGAACTGAGAGGGAGGCCTGGATTCACACATGCCTTTGCTGGTTAC